CTATTAGATTTATTTAATAAGCTCTATAACTTTATTTAAAGACTCAAAAATAGTATTGTGGGATTTCAAATGCAACTTATAGAACTGAAGATGACCTTATTTTTGATTATTCACGAGTTATAATTGAAACAAATCCAAAAAGAGGGATTAAAAGTCAAGATGAAAGTAATAGAAGTATTATTTTAAAATAATATTTATTAGCTCCATTAGCTTCATTGACTCTATTGAACTAACTAATTATATTTATATTATTATAGTAATAATATTCTAATTTAATATGAAAAAAATTTCTTTGAACAATTATTAGAAAGTTTTTTTTTTACATCTATAGTAATTTATATATAGAACTGTATTATATTATACTATGATTATTTTTCTGTTTAGTAAAGAATTATCTATTAAGATAATTAAGTTTAATTGTTAGTTTGATTTTTAAATTAATCTAAGTAAACAAAATTTTATAATTTTAATTAATTTAAAATAATGAATGTGATGACTTAGTGAAGTTAGTAAGTTGTTGTACCTCCAAGTAGTAGGACAAGAGTTCGAATTTTACTAGTGATGAAATTCGAATTTAAGAAATGTGTTACTGCAGACTGTATATAATCTGATGAATTATTAGATCTGTAGCTTTAGTCATATCAGCATATACTAGAAAAATATAGAACTATAATGTGACGCAAGAGTTACATGAAACTCAAATAAAATGTTTATATAAATCTAAGGGCTGAAGCATACAGAATCCCACTTAGCAAGCTCTGAATAAAGAGATAGCACAGATCTTTGACAGTATTATATAAAGGATGATCATTGGCAATCGGACACTAGCAGCAAACTGGATAAGAACTAGATGTTTAGCAAATACTAATACCAACTAAACTGTATATACAGTATATAGGGTGGTCCCATATATACAAAGAAAAAGAATTCAATTAAAATATCAAGAAAACGTCTATTGGTTTCTTCCTGAGCTATCTGAATTAGAAGTTTAGGATGCTGCTAGTGAAGAAAAGTTAGTATTAGTCCATAAAGTGTGTATTGAGGTTTGGATAAACTTTACAAGGACAGAAGTAGGTAATGGTAGTAGATTTGGCTCACAAATATTTGTTCTTAGACTCAGCGTAAGTTACTGAAGTTTAGGTTAGCCAGATTGTAGGTACGGAAAGCTCTAGCAGATTTACTTTGAGGATAAAGGACTCTAAGAAGAGTCTGTCTTAAAATTCTAAATCGAGTATCTGAAAATAAGGAGTATCAAGTATTCTCGTTTGTTAGAAGTTAATGTTTATAGGTGTAGAGGGTTTAAATAGATAATTTTATAGTTGGGTCGTAGATATAGTATCTAGTATAGAACTTAGTATTAAGGGACTATTTAAATAGACAACCAAAAGTTGCATATATAGCTAGCTGTATTCTCTAAATATATATATAGTATAGTGTATACTATATTGTAAAAGTTAATAATAATTGAATAAAAGGAAAACGATCAAGAGGTCACCTTAATATCAAAAAAAATAATTTAAAATAGGGTTTTATAATTTAGCACATATATATTATAACACACCTACCTGATTGACTAATCAGATCATAAGAACAGATATAATATGAAATCGAAAAATAGCGATGTTTTGAAAAAATCACTTATAACTTATAATTTTGCTTATGAAGCTACCTTTTGTGTTTTAACAAAAAAATTTCTTTCAAAATTTTGGGTATAATCAACATTTACTACAATCTAATCTAACCTTACAATAGACTAACTCTTATCCTAAATTAATGTATTGTTAATTTGTTTTGATTTAATATTACACCAGATCTTATAGGGTGCGTTATAATATACATGCACAAAATGATAAAATTCTTTAAAATAATATATAACTAATAGATATTCTTGTAATTTTAAAAACTTAAATATAATGGCTTCATTATTAATATTAAAAAAAAACTTAAATATAATTTTTTTTATATTATCTTGACTTTTTATTATACAAATCAATTTTCATTTATAATAAAAAAATGTTGATTATATCAAAATATATCTAAATAAAAAACATTTTTTATTCAATTACAACTCTTCTTAACGATTATTTGTACCAAACTTATGGCTAATGAAAACAGAAACTTGGAGAAAAGTAGAAGAGACAATTATATAATAATAATTTTTATAGAGGTCAAAACTTTTGTACTTTACTCTGAACTCTTCTGTATCTTTGGCATACAAGTTAAAAGCATTCTTGTACAAGATAACTAGTAAGAAGATAGTGCTTTTATATAAAAAATTTTAATAAAAGTATTGTTTCTGCTGACTAAATTAGATAATAGTTGGTCTAAAGGAGAACAACAAGTAAATTTTCAACACACTCTTTACTGAAGTTTAAAATATTTACAAACTGAAACTCTTCACCAAACTCCACTCTTTGCACTTTACAAAATTTTTACCAAAAAGTGAGAAAAACAGTATACTTCTAATAAAAGATTAATACAGTAACAGCTGCTGAAAAAGGAAAGACATATACACATATACATGTCTAATTTAGGATGAATAGTATTAAATAACATGATAATATTTGAAACACTGCTGAAGATCTGCTGATCTAATTGAGATAGCAACTAAAAATTTTAATCTTGAAGTTTTACTTCAAAACTAGATAATTTTTAATATTTTTATATCCTGAATATAGATATAAATAACTAACATAAAGTTTAGTCTAGTTTATTTGTAGCACTATATAATTTTTACAATCTGACAAGGGTTTAATAATGCTATCTTTGTTTCTTTTCTTTTGTTTCTTTTTTCTTTTCGTTATTTGTTTTGTTTGGTTTTATTTGTTTAGGTGAACTAGAATTTGACATTGAGATATTTTATCATTTTTCTTTTATCCTTTATATTTGTGTTTGTATTTCATTTTATAAAAAAAAAAATCAATTCTGATATGATGTATAGCACCTGCCCATGATCAAAAGATAACCTCTAGTAAGTTAGAAACATGAAAAGAGGCTTGAAGTCCACTAAGGCTGGTTATATTTGGCAAAAACATAGGTAAGCTGCTTTGTGGAAAGATTAATATAGCTATTATTAGGAAATATAAATTTCTTAGTTTAGTTTAATCTCAAATAAAAAGTGGCAGGACAGCCGAATTATAAAAAAAAAAATTATTTTTTATTTTTAAAGTAGTTTCGGCTCTTTCTACTGCAAAGTGCCCATATACTGTATCTGTATTTATATTATTTATTAATATAAATTAAAAAGTGTAAAAAACTTTGGGTTGTCTATTTCACCATTAATATTTAAAAAAAAAAAAAAACTTTGGTCTAAAGTTGCAAACAGCAAACCAGCCTAAATACCAAAAAAAAAAATTCTAGTATAATAGCACATGACTTCACATTTGAACGCAGACCTAATAAAATAGCAAGGCCACATAATCTGCGATTCACTTACAAGCGAAGTTTATTTAAAAATTTCTTGTTAAATCTTGCTGTATATGATATTTCTAAACCCTAACTTAATAGCAAATTTCTAACCCTAGTCTAATAGCGCAATTTTTACTTTGAAAAAATTGAGTGTCGATTTAACCAAGGTAGTAAGTGCACCGCTTAATGTAGTACGTAAGTGCATAGAAATGATAACCGGATCGGCCAAAAATCATTCTGCTAATTTTTTATCAGGTGTTTCAAGATATGAATTTTTAATAGCGATAGGAAATTTACAATGACTATAACGGATTCAATAGTATATCGATAGCGAAATCAATACGATAATGTATCAGCTGACGACCAATCACTGTACCATATAGACGACCCGGGTAATAGGTAGATTTCTTCTTGTTAGATATAAATTACTAACCAAGAAACCCCGGGTCTCTCACATTAGACCCAAGCATAATAGGTATAATGGAGGGGGGTCTACTATCAAGGGGGGTATTTTATATGCCATTTACGGTAACTGGGTTGTACGTACGTACGTACGTAATAATTTTAAAAAAGTCTGACCTTAATATTTGTCAAGCCTATTCCGTTATATAGATATAACGAATATGCCGTACTTGGTACGTACGTACGTATCGGCAGTTGACAGCAAATTTGTCTTTTTTTTATTAGCTAAAAACATGTTACACTACAGGCAAAAAAATTTGATTTTTTTTTTTTTAAAAAAAAAGATAGTCTTAAGATTATACCCGTTTTGTAATTTAATATTGCAACGGTAATCATAATATTACTGTATTATCGTTATATCTTTTAAAAAAATTAATTAATTTAGGGCACACCAACATTGTAAATTTAACTATATTAAGATACATTACCTTGGAGATTATAAAAATTCGATACGTATATTTGTTTAACTATAAATACTATTTTTTTTTTTTTTAACCTTTACTTAAATCTGACAAAAAATTTGAACATTACTGTTACGCGAATTAGAAAATTTGTGAACGTAGCACGAACTACGTAACATGCTACTTAACATTGTCATTTTGTGTTATGCTCACCTGAACATTCGTCCAACAAATTTTACAGAACCATATGATAAAAAATTCTAACAATAAACACGAGGCCTTTAATGAGTTCCGTTACATTTATTGTTGCACTACATAACATCACACAATCATTTTACTTTGAAATTCATGTCACGAGGTTTTGGAAATCGCTCCTGAAAAAATTCGCTAGGAGAACAATTATTTTCAATGCATAAATACGAAGCAATACATTTAATAAATATAGTAAGTGTTAGTCGGGTCAAGCTTGAGACAGTTACACGAAAACCGTATTTGAAAGTGGCGCGGTTAATTAAGGTATAATAACTTCGTTGATTGGCCGATCAGCTATAAGTTAAAGTCATGGACCCCGGGTTTGTTTACACAGCGGATTTACTCGTTTGCAATCTTAGAAGTTACTTAGTTACCGAGGTTGACTTCAGAATCGTTAACCGTTTTTAGTCCATCGTTCTTTCAGATTATATAACTCAACAACCTTGAGACTTTATTTTTGATCAAATTTGTGTTATCATGGACCCTTCGTTTTCATCGTTGACGAGTCGTCGACTTTCGCCCACTCAAGGTCGAAGTCAACGTTCACGAATACCATCACCGTTTGTCAATGTTAAACCAACACAGCAAGCAATAGCACAACAATCGCCTGAAGAAGAAGAGGAGGAAGAAACTCAGCCGAATTCATCACCAAATCGTCGTCCAAACTTAAACGCGTATGGTGTTCCATCAAGGCATTCATCAAGGCATAATTCTTATTCACAACCCGCAAAACAAAACGTTCCTAGTAATTTAAATGACAAAATAAGAGTATGTGTTCGTAAACGTCCACTCAGCAAGAAAGAGCTCACTAGGAACGAGAAAGACATTGCTACCGTCAGTGGCCAAAGGACTGTTCTTATAAACGAGCCAAAGTGAGCTTTATTGCCTCATATGTTTCGTTATAATTTGACACTCAAAGTCTTTCGACTCGTTATTATCTATCACTAGCCTGCCGGGAATGATTCACGTAATTTGCTTAATTCCATCCAATTAGAATGAAAGTCGATCTGACCAAGTATGTGGAACAACACACGTTCTTTTTTGATGACGTGTTTGGCGCCGAAGCCACCAATGAAGAGGTATCTTAATTTGAATCTTTTAATCATTATTGGTATTCAACTGAATGACTTAGCTCTTCATTTTAGGTATATAAACGGACTGCTTTGCCTTTAGTAGAGTACATTTTCCGTGGTGGCAAAGCCACATGTTTTGCATAGTATCCTTTGAAAATCTTGGACGGGCTATCAATATGATTTGTAAAATATTATTATTATTCATTATAATATCCTTCATTCCAAATCTCCTTGACATCTTCTTTTCCTTAAAATAGTGGTCAAACAGGTACGAATAAATCACTAATTGGATCAAAATTTGATTATTAATGTGTTTATATAGCTCAATATTTTGCTGGTATATTTCGATTTTAATAGGAAGTGGCAAAACTTACACTATGCTTGATGACAAACAAGGTATTCTAAATTTTGAATATATTAATTTTTCAAATGATTTACAATATTTTGTCAACATATCTTTTTATAATTATTAGGACTTTACGTTCTGGCTGCTCGAGATATTTTTAACTTATTACAACGGCCAGAATATAGCCATTTGGCGTCATATATAGGGTTCTACGAAATTTATCAAGGGCAATTATATGATCTGTTGAATCAACGAAAAAAATTGTTTGCCCGGGAAGATGGAAAGAAAAATGTCGTAATCGCAGGACTTCAAGAATATTCCATCGATAATGTAGATAATCTTATGCAAGTATTTGATTACGGAAATACAGTACGAAGCACAGGTAAATAAAATAAAATAAAATAATGGATCATTTTAACTTTTTATGTTAATATATTCGACAAATCATTTAGGCAGCACTGGCGCAAATGAAGATTCTTCTAGATCCCATGCTATTCTACAAATAGTACTAAAACATAGGAAAAATAGGAAAAAGTTTCATGGTATTAACATTTATATTTTTAATCTAATTGTTTTTCCTCATTATTTCCTCATTATTTCCTCATTATATATTATATTTCATAAATTTTATTTTATTAGGAAAGCTTAGTTTTATTGATTTAGCTGGTAGTGAACGTGGTGCCGACAGAGGAGATGCTGATAAGCAAACAAGGTAGTTTCTTATAATTTCAGCTGGAATAAATTTATATATTTATATTAAATATTTTCTTATAGAATGGAAGGTGCAGAAATCAATAAGAGTTTGTTGGCTTTGAAGGAATGTATTCGTGCTCTTGATCAAGATAAAAGACACACTCCATTTCGTCAGAGTAAATTAACACAGGTTCGTTGTGGTGCTTAATCATCACTTTGAGTAATTTTGCGTAGATGATATATAACCGAGTTGTTAAATTATTACTGTTATTACTGTTATAGGTGTTGAAGGACTCGTTCGTTGGAAATTCACGAACTTGCATGATTGCCACAATATCTCCAAATATTTCAAATAGTGAGCACACTCTTAATACATTAAGATATGCTGATAGGTATGTCAACTTTTGCTATTACCGACTATTCCATTTAGTAATATTCCTGTTTAAATATCGCGTTGGTTAATTAAAAAATAGGGTTAAGGAGCTCAAATCGGAACGGGATCGTGCTGACCGCGTTGCTGCCGGCCTTGATGAACTTTGTGGACTAACAGACGAACAACGACAAGAATATTATAATAAGGCGCAAGAGAAAATGACCGCAGAAGGTGGTGACGAAGGTTATGAAGTGTACGAAGGTTACGATTACGAAGAAGAGGAGGATCCGGTGTTTGGTGATGATGACTCTGATATTTTTGATGATGAATTTCTAAGCGATGAAGAGCATGACATACTTGGAGAAGAACTGCCTTCAGATGGTCTTGAAGATGAGGCAGATTTCATCGATGATGGCCGACACATCGTTTCTAATTCTGAGATCTCGGGTTTAAAAATCAATGAATCACCGGACTCTCTTATTTCTCATATGAAACAATCGTCCTCATATTCAACTTCTCCAGATTTGAATCCATCAATTCATTTCCCGAGACCATCTGATAATAATTCATCAACTTTTACAACTCAAGAAATAGATGATTTTTTGAGGCGTCATCGCTCAGCACTTAGAGAGGTCAGCGATACGGGAAAACAAGAAACAAAACTTTTGGCTAATTTCACGTTAAAAATGAACTCTAATAGTGATATGGACGGATCACCAGATATTACCGTTAATGCGTTTGAACAGTATCTCGATGAATTAGATGCACTTTTAGAATCAAAAGAACAAGTCATTTCTGAACTGAGACGCAAAATCTCACAACTCTGGCGAAAAGCATAAGCTTATTTTTAAATAATTATTAGTGATTGTAGTCGTTTAAAAATTTATAAGCTTAGTTAAGTCGATAACTTTGATACGACTAAGCCGGCTCAGTTGGCTATTATCTGCCAGTACTATTTTAAATTTTTGAACTACAGCGCAGGCAATCTAGTTCCGATCAATAAACTTGACTAAATTCAAATGATTAATCCTTAATCAAAAAAAAAAAAACAATAAACATAAAAAATTTCTTTATAAATACTAAAGCTATTCAAGTTAAATATCATGGTTTTAAATTTTTGTAGGCTATTTTTAATAAAGTATATAGTAGCGAACCAAAATTAAACTCTATATATATGTGTTAAACATTTAAAAATTAAAAATTAACTAGCCAATAGATTATCTTTTAGTACCCACGTGCTATAAAAATAATTAAAACTATATCGTATTTTTTTTTAGCAGTAATTATAAAATGCACCATAGGTGTTGTTGGTGTTAATATGTTTTTGGCCTAAATTTAGGGTTATGGTGCAACTTTAAAGTAAGATAGGGGTAGTGTTGTAAGCCGGCTAAGGCAGCCGCGGCTAAGCTGGCTTAGCCAGCTGAGCTAGCCGATATAAAAGGGTCGGCTGGCTAATGCAGCTGAAGAACACGTAGTCAAAATCCCGATAAATCCAAAATAGAAAATGGGATGAACGAGTTAAAGCCTTTGTGAAAGTCCCGAAATATTCTGTAAGGTAAGCCGTTAGCCAGCCGCTTAGCCGATATTTTGGTCGGCTTGCTTAGCCAGCCGATTAAAACCATTCGGCTTACAACACTAACGTGAGGTCATAGACAGACATTCGTCTGATTGGCTGATGTAAATCAATTGCCCGGGTAACTTATTTATACACTTTAAAGTACTTTTCGATAACGTAACGTTTCACTAATAAAAAATCACTGCAAAAACCATTTTTCGCTTTGAAAAAACGTCTATATCCACTATACAAAAATAATCAAAAATAATCAGTAATCTCACGAACTTCACTTAAAAGCTAAATTTTCTATTTATTATATACTAGTCATTATATATAAGCGCTATATAAGTACTAATTCCAAAAAACAGTCGACTCAAAAGACGATCCAGATGCTATACTGTAAGTTTCAGTAAAGAGCTTTGTATTTACTGTTTAGTTATTACGCTAATAATGGATCTTAATACCTTCTTACTTGTTACAGAAATTAAGTCGTTAGATCTTTAGATTTCATTACATTCTTACACATAGCCAATATGCGAAATTAAATAGTGCTTTTTTTTTTTTTTTTTTATTTATTTATTTATTTTTTTATAATTTATTTATTTATTTTTTGTAAGATTAAAATTACAATAAAGGTTCAAAATTTTAATATTATACAAATTATTTAGTGTAAATATTGTCATACTTATTGACATTAAAATTTTTGTAACGCTTCCTCTAATGCGAGTGTTTTATATTTCACGGGTTCAACTTCGTCGTTATCGTCACAAGTATTCTTTTCTGATTCTTCAGCAAGTGCTTTTTTTTTTTTTTTTTTTTTTTCCATCGTCGAGAGTTCGCAGCCTTTCCAGTAAAGATTGAACATGTTCATCAACGCCATTTTGTAAGAATGAAAGGCAGTGCAAACATTTAGATCCATTGCTATCATAACAGAATTTATAATATATATGACTGCAGGTTAGAACTTCGATAGTATCTATATTAACAGAAAAAGAAAGACAGTTAGATGCATCACAGTAACGAGATAAATCTGGTTTATATAAAGTACTAAAACCAAGAGGGAGATGACATAATTTTGCTTCTGGCATATTCATCGCAATTAATAAAATAGTTTCGTTATTTTCGTTATTTTCGTTATTTTCATCACGTTTTCTCTTGGAAGATGAACTTGTCTGTGATGGAAGTAATATTAGTAATTTATTATGAAAAAAACGTGAATAAATATTTGAAAAGCATTGTAAAAGAAAACAAGCGCTTTTTTTAATCAATGCCGTTATATCTTGTGCTGAATATTCTTGTGTTGCCCAATTAGATGTACGCGCAAAATTTTCTCTAAACCCACTACTATCTAGGCGTAGTTGATTTATGTAATGCCCATATCTAATGATTTGTTGTGCCTTTGTATTTTTCTGTGTACCCCTACGCAAAAAGCTATGAAATATTTCAACCGTCGAATCCGAAAATTTTGGTAGTTCATTCTTGATCGTATCTAGAATTGGATGATTATTTAACTCCCAGTAAAATATATCAGAAAGAAACATTAGTGGCGCTTTTGTATAATTTTTTCGTTGAAATTTGAGAAACAATGTCCAAACACGAAAACAAGATTCGAAGTATGCATCAAAATCACCAGATCGGAAAAATACAGCGTAAATATTTAGCACAAGTGGGATCATATTATCGAGAAGATCCTTAAGTGCAAGATATTCAGCATCTTTACACAAAGGTCCGAATTTTGCTTCGACGGTCAAAGAAATCTCTTGCCAGGCACTACGGGAAATCTCCAAAAGAAGATTGATGCGCCATAGCTTAGGATTTTCTGCAAGAAGTTTTTTTCCTCCAAAGATAAAATTGTACATGGCGGAAAAAAAAGGCCGGTATTGAAGAAATAATAATTCTCGACTATTTAGTGAAATGTGAAGAGGTCCTATAATAGGGAGAAAAGATAATATTCTATTAGTAATATTCGACAATTCACGATGAGACAAATAACGTAAAATTGCGGTTCGAAGATAAATTTGTCCAGGCCAATCAGCAACGACAGGTATAACATTTCCCCGTTCAAGATATTGTTGTATGGATGGAACACTTGCAACGGTATTAATGGCTTGAATATATTCATTTATGTTGTGAAGATGGTTTTCTTGTAAATCGATAAGAACAGTATCTTTTATAGAACGAGTGCTTCGTTTTTCCTTCAACCTAATATCGTAATTGTGTATAGCTAATTCTTCTAATTTCGTATTGCTATCAACTACCCGAAATCCCCAGCGCTGATTATGAGAAAAGCTATAAAGTTTCATAAATTTATTCGCTATATTTCTTTTGATCAACTCAGCATTGACCAAAAGAGGGTTGTGAATATCTATTTTCGAAACAGCCTGTTGTGTCGTGATTAGATTCATTAAAATTGTTGCCAAATGCGCAGCATCTGATGTGGTAGTTGTATTTGGCACTCTCTTTGTATGGATGCTGTGATAGTCGTCGATATTTAAGACCATTGCATTATCCATATATTGTGCAAGTGTAGAATTAACGTTGTTGGCATGTTCTTCAGATATGGCCGCTTTATGCCGAGCAACAGTGCGAGATGTTGTAGTTATGCCCAAATCGGCAAGAGTATCTATAGAAGAATCAGATGTACCGACAAAATCCAAATACATTGCTACATCACTCTTCATATTATTTACAAACTTGTTGCGAATTCCACAAAGGAAATAACAAGCGAATAAAAGCTGCCTTTTAATTCGTATCTGTGTATCTTTACTTTTAGAAAATGGGTTAGATGATAAATACAATTCGTCAAAAAAAAACTTTAATCTCCTATCTTTTCGTTCTATAGTTGTCCTCAATTCGTCAAACGAATATATTGTCGATTTTTTTTCTTTATTCTCTCGATCATATAAAATATTCGTTATCGTCTCTATTGCTTGAGAGAAAGATAAAGTGGTATTAGTATTTTCAATTTCATTTCCGGTTTCAACAAACCTACTCTTTTCGGAATGCTGTTTGAATTCAAGTGAACTGTTTACAGCAATGCCATTATAACAGTTCAAGCAAATTATATCGCCTAATTGAAGATAACTTGGTAAAGTATTGTTAGATCGGGCTTTAGAAAGAAAACTTTCAGATACCCTTCTCCATTGAGTTGATGCCCTTTTACAAATCTTAATAACACACGGTCCAGTAATTTGTGGCATATTTTCACTTTTAATAAACGCTTTGTTATATCTTTTATTACTTTGCAGCAAAGTTAAAAACTTTAAATCTGTATAAAGTACAACCGTATAAATTACGAACAATTGATTAAATGATAATTTAATTGGTTAATAATTACGGATAATCACGGGTAGATCTTTAAAAATTAACCAATCAGACGAATGTCTGTCTATGAAACGTGAGGTATATCATGTGTTACTCGATCGAATTTCCAGGTCTAAACAGTAGATATTAATTGCCCGCCAATCACAAATAGGCGATATAATTTGCTCGAACTGTTA